TTTTTTACTTATTTTTTGTTTCTACTTAGTGTGAAAAAGGCTGTTTAAGTGCTCTGCTGTACAGCAGGTTTCTTTTTTCTTTTTCTTCTTTCTTTTTTTTTTTTTTTTTTTTTTTTTTGGTTTTTTGAGACAGGGTTTCTTTGTCCTGGCTGTCTTGGAACTCACTCTGTAGACCAGACTCTGGCCTTAAACTCACTGAGATACGCCTGCTTCTGCATGTGCCACCACTGCCCTGCTAGCAGAGTTTCTTAAAGGAATGATATCTCCTCCTACCCCCTCCTTTTTTTTTTTTCAGCTTTCTCAGGCCCTAGGTGGATATTTAAGCCTCGCATTGGTACGTCACAATGTAGTTGGTTTTTTGCTCTTTGGGGCCTGCCACCCAGCTCCCAAATAAATACACAGAGAGACTTATTCTTACTTATGGATGCCCAGCCTTAGCTTGGCTTGTTTCTAGCCAGCTTTACTAACTTAAATTATCCCGTTTCTCTTTAACTACGTTTCGCCTTTGGACTTTATACCTTTCTTTATTCTGTATCTTTCTTTCCTTCTTACTCTGTGGCTGGGCAGCTTACTCTGGCATCTTCTCCTTCTCTTTTTCTCAATCCTCCCTCTTCTTTCAAGCCTAGATTTTTCCTCCTATTTAATCTCTCTGCCTGGCAGCCCCACCTATTCTTCTCTTGCCTTGCTATTGGCCATGCAGCTCTTTATTAGACTAGTCAGGTGTTGTAGACATAGTAACACAGCTTCACAGAGTTAAACAAATGCAACATAAAAGACTGTAACTAGTCTTTGCATCATTAAACAAATGTTCCACAGCATAAACAAATGTAACACATCTTCAACTAACATTCCCCCATAGAATCCTTTCTGATTTACTGAACAGCCTGTGGGATGATAAAAGACAAAGACAAATAAATCCTAATTGATAGCAACAGCACCCCCCAAATGGAGATGGAAATAAAGAAACAGTAAAGCAACATAAAAAGGGAGGGGTGGAGCAGAGCAGAAGCGGGAGGGCCTCGGCTTCTGTGCTGGCTTCTTCAGCCCCCACTGACCCCCACTCCAAACTTTTACTTGATTTTGGAGTCCCCTGGCTGTGGAATCAACCATTCACTGAGCTCTTAGCCTTCCAGGAGCTCACGCTGATATTTGTGGCTATTACAGGCCACTTAGGGATGCCATTTCTAACGGCACTGAGGAGACAGCCTCAAGTAGTATAGCACCTTGTCTCAGGAAGGTTTGCTTTTCTCGGAGTGTGTGTGGCTTTCATTAAATCATTTAAAGTAGGCTCCAGGTCCAAAGAGAAGCCCTGCCTCATGCACACTCCTTTAATCCCAGCACTCGGGGAGACAGAGGCAGACAGATCTCTGTGAGTTCGAGGACAGCCTTTTCTACATAGTGAGTTCAGGGGCAGGTAAATTTCTGTGAGTTTGAGGACAGTCTGGTCTTCAAAGCAAGTTCCAGGACAGCCAAAGCTACACAAAGAAACCCTGCCTCAAAAAACAAAAAACAAGAAAGCCATCAGCTCCCTCATAGTACGCCTGGTCTTCAGTGTTCGGGTCTTCCCTCTCCTCCCTGAAAAATGTCAGGGCTCC